GATCCCGCTTTGAGAGAAATAGTTTACATGTTTTAATAAATCTGATATACAAGTTAAGGAACCTATATATAACTTGCTTTTTTAAACACTTTTCCTTCAACAGCCTTCTTCCTGCAATAACCCTTAATCTTTTTCACAAGCTGTAGTGGGACTGAGACCAACAAGAGTTCTCCAATGAGTGAATGTTGGAAGCTGATAAGAGAAGTATTCTTTCGGGTTTGGTAGCAAAAGTTATATTACACCATGACATATATCTCTTTGCAGTCTCTTTTTTTCTCCTGTCGGCCATTGACATTTTGGGAGATTTACTGATTAGCTTAAAAATTACAGAATTTCAAAGTTTACTGATATGAATGTGCTAGCCTAATTAAAATGTGCAACTGCTGTTAATGTTTTTTCCTTCTACTTTAGGGAGCCCTTACAACTTGTAACTAGTGAAGGAAAGGTTTTATATAATTGTCGCTAACATTAAAAAGACCTGTGCACATTATATTATTATGTTCCCAAACAACTTCTCTAAAGTTCAGTAACTGATATTACTAATTGATTGCCTCGGGAAAGCCCTTAATAAATTGTCTAGTCTAGCTCTCTAATTGCATGGGAGATTATGTATATCTTTCAGAAGCAATAAAGAGGGAACTGTTCCAAGAACTGTAATTATTTCTTTAACCTTCCTATGAGAGTTGTTTTGATGTTATAAAGTAGGCATTGTTATTTCCCATTATACAACTGAACACACTGAGTTTGGTAGAGAATTAGAGAATTACACAGCCAGGAAAAAAAAGTCACAGATTAAAGAATCTGACCTAGCTGTAGCTCATTCTAACATTCATGTCTTTTCTTCTATATCATGTTCCTTGTGGGAAAGAAGTGCTGGGTGTGGAAAAACACATAGCACATTGTCTTTTGTCTGAGCTTGTACTGCCCTTTGTATGAGTTTATGACACCCTCTGACTCCTTTGTCAAAGGAGAATTTGGTCTCATCTTTCCCAAAATTCATTGTGAAATTGTAAGGTGAAAAAAAATCCTCATTTTTACAATGGGGCAGTACAAGTCACAGGTATTTCCTCAGTGTCATCAAAAAAAAAAAAAAAAAAAGGCCAATTCAGAGATTTCAAGATTCCTTTCCAGGCTCTGTGCTCATACTGCTCGGTATTAAAAAGCAGAATGCTTCTGTTGATTTTTTTCTGATTGCTATTACATCTTGGTTTCTCTTTTCTAACTTTCTAAACTGAATTCATCTCTACTGAATACAAAGTAATTCAGTGAACTGAATTACTGAAATACTGGCAGCATTTACCCCCAACGGGATTTCAGGCTCATGGTGAGGTACTCAGAAAATTCTGGCTCAATTGTTACTGACATGGGAGGCTTTACAGTTATTTATTAGAAGACAACCCGGGAGGAAAAGGAAAAAAAATGGATTTATGTGATCCTGCATTGCTAAATACAGCACACTGCTGCTGTCTCTTTTTTTACTGCTTCCTCTAAAAGTCATCATTTCAGTGCACTAATCTTTTAAGCAGCCATTCAGTGGGAATTGGGCTAGAACTTTGCTAAGGGGTCACATTTACCAACCTGACTGTTATATATTGACAAAAGAAATAGCTTGAATTTATTCAGCATCAAAACCTCAGCATCTTTTACTACCCAGCCGCATTTCACACTGTATTACCGTCAGTGAACTATCATAGCTATGTAAATTCCATCCAGATTCTTCATTTAATTAACCAGCATTCTTTGAACAAAAATAAAAGTGCTGTTTTTATAGAGGAATAAAAGCTGCATGAAGTGAGTGTGAAGGAGACAAATCATCAAATTAGTTATTATTCATTGCAGCTATCGTGAATTCTCTGCCCTCCTCTTTCTCTTCAGAAGCAATGTATTTTTCTTCTAGCTTGAGTGAATGGAAAATGAGGAACGGTGCATCAGCCTCAAAGATATTTTAGTATATCATATGGCCACATCCTAAGCTCATGGGGGTTTGGACACTGATGATATTGCCATCCATGAGTGATTTTTTTTTTTAATCATTTTATGTAGTTGGAGAGACAGTATGGTGTTGTAGCTAAGAGCATGGACTTTGTGACTATACTGCCTGGGTTCAAATCCTAGCCCAGCCACTTTTTGGGTCTGTGATTCTGAGCAAGTTACTTGACCTTTCTTCTCTTCAGTTTTCTACCTATTAACTGAGTATAATAATAGACCTCACAGAGTGTGGAGTAACTGAGCTGGTCCGTGTTAAACATTTAAAGTAGTGCCAGCATTTACATCCTGTATGTACAGTGGCAGTCTGATGTGAAGTTGATCAAGCAGTGACACTGATGACATGGTCACCTGGCCTGAACCAATCAATATGGCTTAATAAATATTCTTTTATTTCCCCAGACCTTTCTTTCTCACAGTACCCTTTAATGATAAGACCACAAGTTTTAAAAATAAGGAAATCAAGTTCTTTGGGTTTCTTGTTTTTATTTGAGTATAGTTGATGTGCAATGTTACCTTAGTTTCAGGTGTGCAACATAGTGATTCAACAACTGTTGTGTCATTCCTATCTGTCACATGCAACACTGTTGTGATACCATTGACTCTATTCCCCATGCTATACCTTTTGTTCCTGTGACTGAAATCAAGTTCTTTGAACCAGAGGTATATTAGGCAGCTGATTGGCCACATCTCCATCCTGAACCCTGCTGCCAGATTTAGCTTTCTAAAGCACTCTGTTCTCAAATCAATTTCTGCTCAAAAGGCTTGATGATTTACCTGCTATAAGCCCTTTTGCCTGTCATGCCATTTCTGCCAATCCCTGGCTCTTTTCCTGTCTCTCTTCGACCTTTTTTTATCCATTGTTCTCCCAGGAAGCATCTACTCCAGTCAAAAATTGATCTAGTGCCATTTCTCAAACGTACCACATTCCTTGTCTCTCTTCCTTTGTTCACATTGTCCTTTTTGTCTATCATGCCCTACTCTGTTCTTCCACTTATCTAAGACATACTTCATGCCCTGAACTGAGCCAGGAAAGGAAAGGTATTTTTTATCCCCTTTGTATTTTTTAGCGAATAATATGATGATCTAGATGCACTAGCTGCTAAGTAAATGTTAACAATAATGAAGTCTTCCATTAGCTGTCCTTCCAAACTACATTTAGAATCTAAATTTTACAGTTTTACACTTTATACCATCTCCAACACTGTCAGTCTTGTTCATGCCACAGTTACTTTATGCCTGTCCTCCCTGCTCCACCCTTGCCCACCCCCTGCAGTTTACTCTCAACCCAAGAGCAAAAGTAATCCACTTATAATTTAAGTCAGATCACAATCATTTCTCTTCTCCAGACCTTCCAATAACTTCCCATCTCACCCTGAGTAAAACCAAAGTTTTATGATGGCCTACAAAGCCTTTTAAGATCTGCCACTCCACTCCAGCCCCATCCCTGCCCTCACTCCTTGTGTCTTTCTACTCCCTTTTCCTGTCCCTTACCACTCTTCATTTAGGCCACACTGGCTTCCTTGCTGTTCTCTAAAGATGCAAGGAACAATTCCATCTCCGGACCTTTGCATAAACTATTCCCTTTACCCCAAAAACTCCTTGGGAAATCTTTTTTTTTTCTTTTTTTTTTTTTTTCCTTGGGAAATCTTTATGGCTCCATGCTTCCTGCAGTTCTCTGATTAAATGTCTTCTCAGTGAGATCTTCGCTGATAATCCCTTATTTACTGTCTATCTCCCCCAGCTATTGTGTAAATTTGGGAGAGGTTTGAGGGAGGACTTCTTGTCTGTTTTGTTAGGTGCTCTGTCCTCAGTACCTGAAACAGAATCTGACATAAACATTTATTGAATGTATGAATGAAAAGTTGATCTTTAATAATATGTCCATATTCCTAACTCTCCCTTCATTTCAAATGCATTTAGACTCAAACAAAAGCAAGCATCCTATAATAGCTCTGAGAAAATTAAAATAGCCGTAGTTGAATATTAGCCATGGCAATTGGAGCAGAAAGTTCCATTGCAGAGAAAAGAGATTTCTCTATCAAGTAAAGAAAAAAAATTGTTTACAGTGTAATAACTGCCATATTAAATCATATTGGTGTCCTTAGAAGACTGTCGTTGACCTAGCACCAAAGCACATTTTGAAAGAGCAAGTGGTTTTGGTTACCCTATCCTCCTCCTAAAGTGGAGAGTGTAGCTAGTATATAGTTTTGTTTTGTTGGGTTTGTTTTGTCATTTAGTAGCAGAGAAAAATGGTGAAAAGAGCATTAATGTTGGAGTTTGGCAGACCTGGATTTAAACTCTGGCACTACTATGTGTCCTTGGACAGGATATGGAACATTTCTGAGCCTCTGTTTAATCATTTATAAAATGGTTTTTAATAATACCTTTCTCTTGATGTTGTTCTGGAGGTTAAGTGAGAGGAGGCATGTGAATCGTCTAAGACATAGCATGTTTAATAAATACATGTTCTGTATTTGTGAACATTGCACCCTAGAGAAATAGCTATACGTTTTGCTACTGAACTTCACCTTTGACTTAAATCAGCAGTTAGAATGATGTCTAAAAATAAGCTTTGGATCCTGGGCTTGGACCACAGGGAAATCCACAACCCTGCAAATCTCTCATCCTAGAACATGAGTCCTACCACCTACCTGAGTTCTGCAGAAGCCTACTCTTTCTATCTTTTGAACCAGTTCTTTAATTCTATTCTTCAATTTTCAACCCCCTTCTACTTCCCTTATTTCCAAAATGTTATGCGAGATGTGTGAAGTTGGGGATTCCATACTGAAAATTATCCAAGAAATCAACAGAGGAAAAGTAAGATCAAGCATTTGTTCTACATAATAAAATAACATGAATCATAAGTTTTAAATTGACATGTGAGGAGCACATGTCTTCTATTCAGTTTGGGAATCATAACTTCCAGAGGAAGGAAAATGTTTTGTTTCAACCACCAAACTGTTTTTTAACATGGCTTTTTTTTCCAACGGCATGAATTTTGAAATCCTCAGGAAGCCAAAGCCGTGGTGGAAGAAACCAGAGCCCTGCGAAGTCGGATCCACCTTGCTGAAGCCGCACAGCGCCAGGCACATGGGATGGAAATGGACTACGAAGAGGTGATCCATCTGTTAGAGACTGAGATCACAGATCTAAAGGCTCAGCTTGCTGATTGTTCAGACCAAAATAAAGTAAGCAAAACCATCCTCTCTTTTAGTTACCATGGTTTCCTTGCTGTTGTCATGTATCCTGTTTTCATTTCCTTTTCATCTGCACTTCTAAACTAGGTCAGTGTTGGTCTTCTATTATTCAATGATAGGATGATGTGTCACAATGGGATGGGGTGGGGGGGGTCATGTGAAGGTTGTGCCTCCCTTTATCTACATAGCTTTGGGGTGGAAAAGCATGTGCCCCAGATTTATTTGGGTCATTGGTCAGCATTGTACAGCTCAGGCATTAAGACCTGGAACTATTCAACATATAATTGATTACATTGGTTTTCTCCTTTTGTTCCTAAACTTGCTAATTTGCCTGGTGGGGATGAAAGGAGGAGAGTCTAGGGATGGGTTTTGCTCTTTGATTAGAGCACTCAAGGAAGTATGAATGTTAAATAATTTTTGCCCAGGGCCTAAGGTAATTAATAAAAAGAAACTGAGTTTGAATTTAATAGGCTTCAATTTCAATAGCAAAATACCAAATACTACTCAGAAATCAATGTGGCTTTTTCCTATGTGTTTTTTTTTCACTTTGTGATTATTTTTAACATACTACATACTATATTCATTGAAAGGCCTTCAAAAGCTATAATAGACATACGCATTTTTATTTCACCAAGGTAGAAAATTAAGTATATTGAAATACATATTTTATAACTTTTAATGAGTTCACTTAGAATAGGTACTTATATCTCTAATGCACTCAACTTTTTAAGAAGACATAAGGCAAATTTGAATAGTTTGTTTATTTATATATATATAAAATAGTTAAATTCCTTAATTATACCAAGTGGAAATGAAACCAGTTTTAGAAAAGCAAAATACATAAGAAAATCTGAAATTTTCTTTGGTCAGCTCTTTTACTTTTCTCACATCTGCCCATTTAAACCAATTCTAAAGGAAAGCTGATATTCTTGTCACCCCTTGATAATATACAAGGCCAAGGGAAAATCATATTACTTGAAAAAGCAGCAAGACTTAGAAATATTACATACATTTATTATTTTTGGTCCGGTGTTTATATTCTGAAATACATGCTTAATGTCATGTAAGTGTATTCTGAAAATATTGGGAATTATCAAAATATCAAAAGTACTATTTTATAAAACTGTGTACTTTTAGAGGGATAATCAATAGTCTTTAAAAATACTTTCTCAGTAATATTCAGAGTTCTTATGGAATTATTCTTTTTTTTTAAGCATAAGTTATTTGTAATTCTCTGTCCTAGCTCCTAGCTGATACATATTTTTGTCCTAAGTCGTCTAGCAATAAAATTATTCAGTTTTTCTCTTTTTAGCGTAATGGGGTCTCATGCCATTCCTCGTAACAAGGTTCTAAGCTTAGCCCTTAACCTGTCTCTGAAAAAATGATCTTTTGTTTCCTTTTCAAAGAAAGAATACTAGATACAAGCATCTCAACAATTCCCAAACTCCATGCCAGTGGAGAAAGAGAAGGAAATTTCTTTTTAATTATTTGAGGTTGCTTCAAGAGACATTGACCAAGATATTAACAGGACTCAGATTCAAACATTCATTTTTAAGACACAGATTCTTTTTGTAACAGTGTTTTTATTTTTCACTGTAAGCTTTCCCTTATGTTATCTCTATACTCACCTTTTTTATTTTTGTTTCTTTTGTTTACCCCAGCTTAGGAAAAAAACATTCCCAGCACCTTTGAAGATCCAGTGTCTGTCTCTAGTTTCATTTCCCTCCCCTGCCCTCAGAAGTAACCACTCTCTTAGATTTAGTATTAACCATTTTCTTGATAATTTTACCACATATGTTTATATACCTCTTAACAATAAATGTTGTTGAGCCTTGCCTGTTTATTAACTTTACATTAATAGAAATATCCTACATGTATTATTCTTACTTGCTTTTTTCACTCAACCTTTTATTTTTCCAATTCATCTATTTGAAATTTATAGCCAGTTCATGTATTGTCATGGCTTTTCTGTACTCCTTTAAATGGATATACTACAGTTTATTTGTCCATTCTGTACTTGATGAACAGTCCAATTGTCTTTATTATGAACAACGTTGCTAAAAAAAATTTTTTGTGCATATATCCTGCTCTACATACATAACAGTTTTTCTTGGTTTCATATCTTGGAATGGAACTGCTAGGTTGAATGATGATCCATCAACTTTACTAGGAAATGCCTAATTGCATTTAAAAACTCTTGAACCAATTTTTACTCCCATCAGTAGTGAATGAGAGATATTGTTTACCCCACGCCCTTGCTGACACTTTGTTTTCACTTACTTTTAATTTATATCAATCTGGTAGGTGTGATAAGTAAATCTCATTGTGGTTTAATTTGGATTTCCCTGGTTACTAACGACTTTGAGCCACTGGTATGTTGGGACCAGCTGGCACTGGCTCACAATAGGTGATTGTGTGCATCTCTTCTTAACTGCATATTCAGTGACATCAGGTTGGTAGCTTAAAATCAGCCATAATAAAGTTATTTATACTCCCCTATGCTATAAACCAGGGCTTTAACCCCTGGCCCAGATACCCAGTTGAGTATATATTTATGTACTTGTTAGGCATTTGTGTTTCTCTGTGAAATGCCTCTTCATTACATTTTCCATTGGGTTCTTCTTTTCATATTGATATGTAGTGATTGTTCATATGTTCAGTTGCTATTCCTGTATTAAGTTATATGTTATTAAAGTCTTCAATTTATGGTTCGCCTTTCACCCAATGGTAAAATAAACATTGATTTTCATATAGTCCTTTCCCTCATGTCTTTTTAGAATTTATTCCATTCCCAAAAGTATTCTTTGATATTTGCCTCTAAAAATTTTAAACTTTTGGGGGCACCTGGGTGGCTCAGTCAGTTAAGTGTCTGCCTTGGGCTCAGATCATGATCTCAGGGTCCTGGGATTGAGTCCCACACCTGGCTTCCTGCTCTGCACGGAATCTGCTTCTCTCACTCCTTCTCCCTCTGCTCCTCCCCCTGCTTGTGTGCACTCTCTTTCTCTCAAATAAATAAAATATTTTTTAAAGTTTTGAAGTTTTGATCCTCTATAATTGGTTTTGTGGCATTATATGGAGGTGGGGATCCATTTTATTCTTTCTTTATTCTGAATGAATGACCAACTATCCCAGCACCATTTATTCAAAAGTCTCTTCTTTCCTAATTGATCTATAAAATCAGTTCTGTCATATATCAAGATTTCATGTGTGCCTATCTTCCTGAAGCCTCTCTATTCTCTTTCACTGGTCTATTTGTATATTCTTATGCCAATTACACACTGTTTGTTACTGTATCTTTTACAGTAAGTCTTGATATCTGATCACCCTGCCTAGTATTTTTTCTTTAAAAGTATATTAACTACATAATAAAAAAAAGTATATAACTACATATTAACTACATGACCCTTTGATCTTTTATATAAATTTTAGACTTGGTTTATAAATTCAAGCAAAAGGGGGAAAAAAAGCTGTTGGAACTTTTACTGGAAATGCATTAAATATATAGATTACTTAGGGAAGAATTTACATATTTATGATTGAATCTTTATTAATAAACTTACCAGTGAGGCACAAAAAGTTTAACTGCATTGTGTCCAGAGAATCTAGTCTATAGCATAACAACTCCAAAATCTTTGATGGTTGCTTTGTGGCTTACTATATGGCCAGTGTTCACATATGTTCAGAGTGAGCTTGAAAAGAATTCTGCAGTTTTTTGATGGATTGTTTTATATGCAGTGTCCTTAGTTTATATGCAGTGTTTTAATTGTATATGTGGTAAATAACATATAGCTGAATTTTTTCTTCATCATACTAATTTTTGACCTTTAATTAGAAAGATCTTTCCATTTACTCTTATTTGCTAATGTATTTGGCTTCGTTTTCACCCTCTTTTAATTTATGCATTTTATGTGTACGGTGTTTTTTGGCTGTTTTTTTAGTTGTTATTACTTGCCTGTTTTTTTTTTAATTGGTTTAGATTTTTCCTGTATTCACCAGCTCTCATTCCATTTATTTCCTTCTGCTAGTTTAGAAAGTATGTACTCCATTTCTAATTTTTAATGATTATCTTAGAAATTTTAACATTTTATGTTAACTAATTATAACACAAATCACTAGCTTTCCCCTTCTTCTAAATATTATAAGCACTTTAGAATATAAAACATAGGATTTAGAACATAAATCCTATCATCCCTTCCTACTCAATTTCTATTTTTGTCAGTATTTTAGTTCCTTCTTGACTTTTAACACCATAAATTAGACACTATACAGTTCATTTTGTGCTGTCAACCTTTGTTTAAATAGATCCTCATGTTTACCATTTTCTGTGTTCAGCATTCTTTTTGTATCTCAGACCTTGCTAAAATTATTTTATGAAATAAAATGAAGTACATGTTTTAGAAATGTATTTAATGAGGATATGTTGGTAACAAATTCTCTTCAGTTGTGTTTGTCTGAAAACATCTTTATTGAACTTTTGCTCTTGAAATACATTTTTGCTACATTTAAAGTAAGTTGGCATTCAGTTTCTTTCAGTGTTTTTATTCCATGGTTGTGATATCAGTACTCAATCTGGTATTTGTTTGCAATCTGTTGTTTTTTTCTAGATGATTTCAAGATCTTTTTATCTTCAGTGTTCAGCAGTTTGACTGTGATGAGTCATGTGTTGACTTATTTTTATTTACATTGCTTGAGATTCACTGAGCTTCCTGATCTAAGGAATAATGTCTGTTGTTATTTCTGAAAAACCCCAAATTGTTATCCTGAGCAATTTCTCTTTCATTCTTTCTGAACCCTCATGTGTAATTCAGATTGGGTGTATGCTAGATCTTCATCTAGTTATATTCTCCTTACCTTTTCTCCTTCTGTTATATTTTCCATTTTTATTTTTCTGCTGCATTATGAAAGCCTTCTTTACCTCTGCCTTCCAGTTTATCCATTCTCTTTTCAACTGTATCTAATGGATATTAAACCCATAAATGAGCTTCTAATTTAATTTTGATTATATTTTTAAGATTTATTATTTTATGTTATATGGATCTATTTTTATAGTTTCTTTTCCCTTTGTTATGCTTTAAATTCCTAATTTTTGAAACCTATTAAACATTACTTTATAGTTTGTATCTGATCACTCCAATATCTGCTGTCTTTATAGGTCTGACCCTATAATTTGTTTCCTTCAGCTGATTTTATTCATGGTAGCTTATTTCCTGAGGTCATGTTCTTTTGGCACATAATATGTAGGAATTCTTTGAGATCTGGATTTAGAAAATATCCCTCCACAGAAGTTTTGTGTTTGCGTCTACCAGTTTGGAACTGTTTTAAACTAAAATTTCAGCTTATAAATTTATAGGACACATGGGTAATACAAATTATGACCCCCAACTTTCATGAGTAGGGGCTTGTGATTAGAAATTATAGACTTTTTTTAACCCACTTGCCAGAACCAAAATCAAAATCATATATTTATTTCTATAAGGTTTTTTTCTTTCTAATTCACCTATTAAAGTTCTCTCATTTGCCAACTGTGCCCAAAGATGTACTATCAGAGCAAATTATGCTGCAGTGCATGCATATTCTTATGAAAGGGTTTACCCAGCATTGTTGTTGCTTGTCTTCATGGAATTCCTTTACTGTCCATGAGATTCCTTTACTTCCCTGCCAGCTGAACTTTACATTGGATCAGAGTACATTAAATATATATATGCGTATCTTCAATTTTGTTGTGCCACATTGGCAACAGTTTATGCCAACAGCTGGCAAGCTGTATTGTCCAAAAAAAAAAAGAGAGAGAGAGAGAAACGCCATGATAAACTGGATTTAAATGTATATTTAAATGTATTTTACTATAAGAATCAACAAACTCATATATAGTTTATCTCAAAATTTGCAGCATCCCTGTGCAGTTTAACCTTTAAATATGCAATTAGTAAAATGCCCTCTCCAAGTCAGAAGATATGTACAGTAAGAGAAAATAAATAATATGATAATGCTGGATATTGGTTAATATAAACTGAAAATAGGAGCCACTGATATAAAAATCAAAGAAATGTGTAAGACCTTCCTTTTGATACTTCTGTCCAGGAAAGTGTTCAGGAGTTAAGAAAGAGAATCACAGTGCTCGATTGCCAATTGCGAAAATCAGAAATGGCTCGAAAAACTTTTGAGGCATCCACTGAAAAGCTTCTTCATTTTGTAGAGGTAAATTTTCCCATTATATTACTTTATGTCCATTTTAAAAAATCTGTAAATGACTGACATATATTTAAATGTTCTGGTGTTTGGTGACTAGTGAAACATTCTCTGGCTCAAAACAGCAATGCTAACCTATAATCGGGTTTAAAATGGCGTAGATAATGGAAAGACCAGCACCAATAGATTGTTGAGAGAAATAATTGAGATAGGGTTAAATGATCCTAAATATATGCTATGTTTTAATGAACACTTTCTCAAAACTCTTAATACTATTGTTTAAACATTATTTGATAAATATTTGCTCTATAAAGAAATATTTTCATAACTATTACATGTCTGAATACAGTTCCATGTCAGTGTAATTGATTTTTCCCTCCATGTAACAGAAGTACCTTTTAATCAACTGGGAGTGGGAGATGGGGGTAGGTTATAAATTTTAGTTAAGACATCTTACAGATATCAAACTTACATATCTCCTTTACTGTCATGTTTTCTCTAGACTATTCAAGAATTATTTTCTGATAATTCTTCTCCTTTATCAAGTTTAAGGTAAGAATATTTGTTTCCTGTAGAGTATGATTACATTTTTCATTTTGTAATTGTGACTAAAATACTAAAATCTTTTAAATAGCCTTAGGATGCTACATAACTCCTATTGGATGCTGTTTTTTAATGTCTTGTGGAAATAGATGCAAGGACATGTTGTTTTTGACTCCATCTCTGTAAGAGAAATTCCTGGAGGTATTTAGCCAGTCACTGTAACCAAGTACTCTAAAATTGAGGTAGGAATCATCTATCTTGTTTTTGTTAGGAATTCTATAAAGATGGGATTACCCTAAAGTTTTCTAAGTATCTGTATATGAGTAAAAATTACCTTAAAGATCAGTCTCAACCGAGCAGATGAGTTGTTATGGCAAAGAGAATTTTATAAAACAGGTTAATGCAATCAGTTCTTTCATTTTCAACATTTAGTAGACACAAATAAAAGAAATATATTTGGAGAATACACCTTGATTTTGTTATTCAGTTTGTTTCTAATTTAAAGTTTCCTACTAAGAGCTACAAACATACTAATAAGATTCATGTAATTCAAACTGCAAGTTTATGGTCATTTTGATACATAATGAAAGATAAACAAAAGGAAGTTTCCTGTTTATATATATTTTCAAAGCAGTTTTTTTCTCCTCATCTTATAATAGCTGCCAGCCACCAGCAATGTACTTCTACTTCTAGCAATGCATGCTTGAAGAAACAGGAAAACTATGCCCTTTACTATGAAAACAACAGTTTAATAAATGATGATTCATCATATTCTTATATTTTAACGTTCCACATAGCTTTTTTTTTTACTTTAGAAAAATGTCTACAGTAGTATTCTTTAAAAAAAATTTTTATTATTGAAATGTAGTTGACACACAATGTTATGTTAGTTTCAGGTGTACAACATTGTAATTGGATTATTCTAAATGTTATGTGATATCAGTACACTTTTAAGCTCATTTTATTGTAATGCTTTATTCTAATGAAAGATCTGACATTTTATTGCTATCTGTGCTGCTTATAATGTAAGATAATTATGTGAATTTCATGTTAATTATTTTCAATAAGAATGTTAAAATACTCAGTCAGATTCCCCTGTGTGGATAGATGTGTCCCTCATCACCACCCTTAGAATCTCCTTGTGACCTTGAATAATAATTCAAAAGTTTTGGTGTTAAGAATGATCATTTAAAAGCCAGAGCCTGCCCTTGCCTTAAACTGGTTCATGGTAACCTTAAAAAATATTAAGCAACTTTTCACCACATCTTGGAAACTTGAACTCTACAAAAATATGATTCAAGCTTTTTAATATACTATAACTTCTGTAATAAATTTTGGCCTTTGTCTTTCAACACAGAATAAAGGCTCTGTATTTGAACTTGAGAATTGATGCTTTAATTGCTTCTTGTGAATTAATCCATCATGCTTATTGAAGATGGATTATAAATAGTAATAATAAATAAATAATAATGGTTTCATTACCAGTTTAAAATGATCTCTTTTCAAGTAAAAGTTTCAACATAATGGTTTTTTGCAGTAAAACCTTGTATTTTAAATTACACCAGAGCATATTCATTTCAGGTGACATTTACATCTTCAAAAAGTGATATAAATGCTCTGTGATGTTTTAGATTTTATATAATTTCAGTTCAAAAAATTTCAAAAAAAGATACGTTCAGGAGCAAATAAACATAGAATTTATATTTAATATTATAGGAAGTGATAGTAAATGTCCATTTAATAAATTTATGTTTAAGTGCTTCATTTGAATTTTTACAAACTAAAGGGCTACATTGTGTTAGCATGACATAAGCACAAAATAAGTCCAACAAATGATTTATTCCTCCTATTATGAGGTCAACCTAGTTCTTATACATGTCTTTGTTACATAATAAAGAACTGAAAACAAACGTTTTGTGATTACTTCGTTTTATGGTTATAAGAATACAATATTCCCAGAAATACAAATATTTTTGTACATAAGAATTCAGATTATTTAACCAAGAAGATTTTATTATTTGTACAATAAGTTCAACTTTATATTGTTGCCCTTCACAGTGAAAGAAGACCTATGCTAGCTTCTCAGACTTCCCTCACACCACTAAGAAGGAATGGACGTAATATCCCAGCAACACTGGCACTTGAATCTAAGGAACTTGTTAAATCTGTTCGGGCCATACTTGATATGGATTGTAAGTTTTCTGCACTTTTTTCACTTTTGTATTTTTTTTAGTAATTGATTTAACAAAACCAAAAGGAAATTTCAAGCTTGACAGTTTAATTTTGTTAAATGTGTTGGCTTGCCTACAGTAAAATTAATAGCTAATCATTAAAATCTTAAAACACCTATTGTAGGAGGAGAATATTTACTTTATTTAAAGTTCCTGAAATGGCTTCCAAGAGAAGATAGCTGATTAAGACATGTTTTTACTTCTACTTCCATCCAAAGTCTCTTTGAAATGGAAGAATAAGTACAAAAATAAATCCACAGCAGTGCTGGAAACCTGAAAGATTAGAACTAACATTGAGGAATTTTTGAATAATATACAACAGATGAAATAAAACTGAAGGTACAGCCCAGCTGAGCAAAAGACCCCCAAATACAATAAAGATGAAAGACAAAACTGCTGAAACAGTGAGTTAAGTAGAACCATGAGAAAACTTCCAGGATCGCAGGCAGGGAAAACTAGGAACAGACCTTTGGGCACCCTGCAGGATAATTAATTAAAGAGCTATGGAATAGCTGAACCAGTTCCCTGCTCATCAGAGCTGCTTGCTCAAGCATTTACTCCTAAGCCAGGGCCAACAGAATACCTCTCTTAAAAGAACTGCATGATCTGTCAATGGATGCCCCCAGAGTCAGCACTGAGCAAGAAAGAGAAGCAAGGCAACTGGCTGAGTAACTTGCAATGTCCCAGCAAACGGGCAATCCTTGAGGAGAGCTTAAACCATTGGACATTTCCATCCTCCCCTCCTGTCTCCCAGCACTTGTGCTTCTTCACAGATTTGGACTCCCTTTTTACCTGTTTGTTCTTTTGTCTCTTCCCTTGATGTCAGTCTGTCTGTGGGTTGTCTTAGTGCTGACCTCTACCATTCTACTATCCCTGTTTGCCATTCTCAATCTCCCCTCTGCTGAGGACCAGATATCAAATATGTATAACTATAAATGTAGGAATACGATACAATTCTTGTTAAAAAAGTATCCAAGTAAGTTTTGAGTAAAGTCCTGGGTAGTAAATGGTTTGGCTTTGTAGAGGATAATATTCAAAGACTCTTTGGGGTAACTTTTAACTTCCAAACTATATTATAGAAAGAAGATTGGAAACCATGCCTCTAACAGTATATGCTCAATTTCTGCAGTGAGGTTTTCTTTTTTCTTAATTTTGTATAACCTATTACATTAAAAAAAATCAAATTATATTTCAAAAACACTGTAAGAGCTCTTTAGTAAAGAAATTATATAGATTTCAGGGTAGAGGAAAATAATCACTCCTAATGTATTATGTGTATACTCAGAATTTTCTATATTAGACATTTTTAAGTTAGGGTGGGAACAGTAGAGGGAAACACCTGCAACACACATGCATAACCCAGCGGACATTGCCATCATTAATTTTAATTACCTTGCTAACATTAACCTTTACATTTGTCAAACATGATTTTTCAAAGAAAATATTTGAAATTCAGCAGAACTTCTTTGGAAGAAAAGTGAAAAATTCCATCTGCACTTTTTATCTGTCATAAGATTGTACCTAGCCTGCTATTTAAACTAGCAAATAGTTTCTACGTTGTCTTTTTACTTAGAAATATAATTGCTAATATTGGCTATATTCCCAATAATTTTATAATTTTTCTGACTTGTCTTTTTATGTTTGATAATTCAGATGAACTCAGCTCATTTTTTTTTCTCTTCATGCAGTAGCTCTTTTCTATATGTAATGAAACACAGAAAATCACTACCATGAGGTAGATAATTCAGCTGCAGTCTCTAACCTCATTTCCTTTGGTGTGACTCTGCATATTTCAAGTAACAATTTTGAATTTTCTCTTGGGTAATTGCCTCAACTTTCTTCTTAACAAAAGTACACTCTGGGATGTTATACTAGGGGATTTCCTCAGAAATGAGAATCAGATTTCTTGGGTGTTATCACTTAAAATCAGTCTCTGGGGAATATCTAGAAGATAATTCTGAACGTTTTTTGGATGGTGGCCTCCACTGAAGTCTGGTAAAAGCCCTATACCAGATATGTGCAGTTATACACATTTGCATCCATCTTTAGTGTGTTCATAAACCCCAATTTATGAACCTAGACATAGGATCACAGAGAACATGAATGCTTTCTACCTGGCCAACCAGCTCTCATCAGGATGCCTCTAGCAATGGAGAAGTACATGAATTTTAGAGGCAGCCTGGAGGAGCAGTTTGAACCCGTGTAAACAGTGCTCTGCAGAACCTCTGATGATCCCTAGAGGTGCCCCAGGGAGCACCCCAATTAGCCATCCAACTTCGCTGGGCAAAATACTTAATCTCTGGTTTTCTTTTGCCATATAAAAGGTGGAGTTCGTAATATCTGAAGTAGCAGGATTGGAGGATCAAGTGAAATACATGGAGAGTAGCTAACCAAGCACCTGGTAGTATAAGATGTTCCATAAATGGATTACTACTGCTTGTGCTAATAATGCTGGTACTGCATTATTACTATTTTAAAGCAGCTAATTTAAATATACGTTTTCTCTGTACTAAGTATTAAGTAATCATTGTCTAAATCTTCTTTGAATTTAGATCCATTTGAAAATACGGTAGAAGAGAGCTTTTCTTAGTATATAATAATGTTATTTTCGATTTTGAGTTAGAGTGTAACCATCACAGGAAACTGTGGTTAAATGTCTGAATCAGCATCTTATCTTTCAGTTGTTTATTGCTAACTATAACAAAACTTTGGTATGTTCCATTATACTGCTTCCACTGAAATGTTACGTCGATAAATAGGCAATTTTCGATTAGTTTTGGAACCCTTAAAGGTGCTTGTATCAATCTCCATCAATATTTACATGGTCAATACCATAATGTTTTAGTGTGCTCTTTATTTGAAATAACTACTTAGCTTGAACTGCAGTCTTTATTGACACCTAGATTGACGAAAAAAATAGTTCTGTAACAAAAGCAGTAAGAAGCAGTTTTTTAAATGCATAATAAAATAATATCTGGGCAGATATTCCATAGGAGGTCTTTAGTAAGAACTTACTGATTTCCTGATTTCCTGGAAGATTGGCAGCACAAACACAGGCATCTACCCTCCTTCAAAATTCCCATGAAAATGATAAATGGAATACAAAAATGGAGTAAAAATCTTCAAGAGCACTGGCAGTTACAGGCAAATCCCAAAAAGTTTTCAATAGGGCAGGTAGGGTCCAAACACAGTGAGAGCAAGAACAGCCAACCTGTTACTCTTGCTGAACAATAGTGGAGATTATGGGATAATTGGAAGTCACTTTGGCAGGACAGTAGCTCTTAATGCATTCTAATTTGAAGGGGTAATGAATTAAGCCAATGAATTAGGAGGTAAATGGACTCTTTATCTTCTTTTATCTTGGTGACTCTTTATCTTCTTTTATCTTGGTGAGTCAATGGCATTTTTGAAATCCTCAGGATTCACAGATTCTGTGTCAAGCAGAAAGCCAACTGGGGCTTGGTCCTTTAGACAGCATAGAAATACTTTACATCTGACATGCACTGGAGCACTTCACCCAGGTTAGTGGCTTCTGCCCCAAATGCCATGTGCTCTTTACAGCCACCTCTGGTCCTGGCTCCTTTCTTACTCCCCTCAGACTGTTACATCAACCTTATAACACAAGTGCACACTGGCCAGCTCGCAGCCAGAGCTTTGAGAGGGTAACACCAACAACAACTTGGTTGAATATCAGTGCAACCGGGGGATTTACACATCTTTCAAAGGTCAAAAGCCAATTCAGAGGAATTCTTGGGTGGCTCAGTGGTTGAGCATCTGCCTTTGGCTCAGGTCATGATCCCGTGGTCCTGGGATCAAGTCCTGAATCGGGCTCCCCGTGGGGAGCCTGCTTCTCCCTCTGCCTCTGTCTCTGCCTCTCTCTCTCTCTCTCTGTCTTTCTCTGTGTCTTTCATGAATAAATAAATAAAATCTTGGGCAGCCCAGGGGGCTCAGCAGTTTAGGGCCACCTTCAGCCCAGGGCATGATCCTGGAGACCCAGGATCGCATCCCATGTCAGCCTCCCTGCATGGAGCCTGCTTCTCCCTCTGCCTGTGTCTCTGCCTCTGTGTGTGTGTGTGTGTGTCTCTCATTAATAAATAAATAAAATCTTTAAAAAAAAAGTTTAATAAAATCTTTTAAAAATTCGGAAAGTTCTCTTTTTTATAAAGAGAAATACATAACACATGTATATATCATATATATGTGTGTGTGTGTATATATATATTTACCCAAACACATATTTCATTCAACATCTTTTAAACAAATATATATATATATATATATTTCATTCAACATCTTTTAAACAAATATATATATACATATATGCTATATATGCTTATATATATACATATATATATAAGCATACCAGTATATGATCATGAAAACGTCTACAGTACTAAAGCAAGAAAATAGAGCTGTCAAGATTCAGAATAAACTACCATCTACCAAGATGGCAGAGTGATCTCATGCCAAACCCTCCCCATTCTGCTCCTACACTTAGAAATGACATTTAAAATTATGTTTGTGTATTTAAAAAATGAAAACCAAGGAATGCATGTCTCTCTGCACCAAGAGGAACAGAGGGTAAAATTGTAATGATAAGTGAGCTCTTAAGCTTCAGAGATTCACGGGATTGAGATGAGCAGCTGGAGCCAAGGTTTCTACACCCACGAGGACCCAAATGATGCCTCAGCAAAGGAAGCAGGGAGCAGGAATCTTCCTGTGGAGAATATAGTTTCTTTTCTTAAGTTATATATTAGACATTAAAAAAAAAAATCCATCGAATTTAGGAGCCATCTGGGCCTGCCACTAATTAAAGTTGAAAGTAAATATTCTCATCCACTACAGGTGGGAATATAATTTGGCACAACATTCCTGGGAATCAATTTTGCTACATATATCAAGAGCTTTTAAAATATCTATTTTAAAAATGTTTTTGAAAGTTAAAATAATATTTTAGTGAT